GTCCTGATTCAGATCCCTGGTCCCACATAGTGGAGGGAGAAAACTGACTCTTCAACTTGTCCTCCACTGGGGTCCCACATATTTATACATGCCCACAAAGAAATAAAAAGTAAAACGTAATAAATCAGAATAAAAAGCATCCTCTTAGCCAGGCAGTGGTGGCACATGCCTTTAATCCCAACACTTGGGTGGCAGAGGAAGGTGGATTTCTGAGTTTGAGGTCAGTCTGGTCTACTGAATGAGTTCCAGGACTGCCAGGGCTACACAGAGAAACCCTGTCTCCAAAAACCAAAAAAAAAAAAGCATCCTCTTTACAACTAAAAAGCAACAGTGAATACACAACAATCCACACTCTCTATGTGGTGTGAGCGGTTGACATCATATAAGACATATGGGGTACACTGAGGCAGACCAGGTGTGACATGTTCTTGGGGAAAGAGACCCAGGGCACTTCAGGAACCCTGACAAGATTGCAGAAGCAGTTTGAACTCTGAGGCCTGAGACTCTGCAGGAAAGCACCTGCCTAACAGTGTCTAAAGTCTGGGGTCCTTACTTGGCCTCTGATCCTATTCCCACTCTAGAGGTTCTGTCGACATGTGACTGCATGACTTGGGGTGAGGGGTTCGGCTTGCCTGGAAGCCACTAAGCTGAACTGTGTAAGCTTGTCCTTGTTCCAGAATGGTTCTTGGCTGCCCCCCAGTGGTGACTACGAACAGTACAGGGGGATGTGAGGTGACCTTTCAGGATAGGGCCTGCTGTGAGCAGTTTCCTCTCCTGCAGATCCTTGGCTTCTCCAGTGGGGGTACTCACTTCTTTACTTCGGGAGTCTTGAATTTTGTGCATCAAATTATTTTATAGAAAGGGTCACCCAGGTCTCATGAGCCCTGAAGGTGGGATTGCAACCCCATGCTGGGGTGTTGGAGAGGTAGAGACAGATGAACCCCTGGGACTCACTGGCTAAATCAGCTGAGACACAGACTAATGAGAGACTCTGTCCCAACAACACCCAGAGCTGACCTCTGGCTTCCGTGTGTGTGTGTGTGTGTGTATCTGTATAGGCCAGAGGTGTGTGTGTGTATGTATGTATGTGTAGGCCAGGTGTGTATGTGTGCATACGTATAGGCCAGAGTGTGTGTGTGTACAAGCCAGAGGGGTATATGTGTGTGTATACAGGCCAGAGGTGTGTGTGTACAGGCCAGAGGGGTGTGTGTGTAAGTGTATATGTATGTATGTGTGTAGGCCAGAGGTTGGTGGCTTTTTTCAATCACTTTCCAACTCACTTTTTGAGACAAAGCCTCCTGCTAAGCCTGGAATGTGCTGATTCACTAGATTAACTTACTAGCAAGCTGCAGGAATTCTCCTGTCTCTGCCTTTGGGCCCTTAACCCTGGTATTACAGGTATGTGTTAACGAATGAATGAAAGAGACAAGATCTCACTATGTAGGCTTGTTTGGTCTGGAACTCACTGTTCAAGGCAGGCCTTGAACTCACAAAGATCCACCTGCATCTGATCACTGAATGCTGAGATTAAAGATATGTGTCACCACTCCTGGCCTCCCCTTTTTAAAAAAACAACAACAAAAACTAAGTCTGTTTTGCTAACCTGGTGGCACGGACCTATGATCCCAACTACTTAGAAGGCTGAGGGAGTAGAATGTCAAGTTTGAGACTAGCCTTGGCTACAGAATTGAGTTCAAAGCCAGTCTGGGAAACTTAAGTGAGATGCTGTCTCAAAATGAAAAGCAAAGTAGGGGCTGTGGGAGTGTGGTGAGCTAGCTCAGGTTAAGAGTGCTTCCTAGAGGACCATGCTAGGCAGCTTACAACTGCTTGTAACTCCAGCTACAGGGGATTCAGCTCCTTTCGGCCTCCGTGGGTCACAGCACTCACATTACAAACACACACACATACATATCCGGGTCACAGGTGTGCCCTCCATTTCTGGACTTTAGATCATTCCAGATGTAGTCAAGCTGACAACTGAGAACAGTCGTAATCCGTTGGATGCAGTTATGCAATCATTATGAGATACTCATTTTTGTGTTTGCCTTTTGAAAACTGGGTCTCACCAAATAGTGCTGGTGTCCTAGAACGCTTCTAGGCCAGGCTGGCCTTGAACTCACAGAAACCAGCTTGACTCCGCCTCCGGAGTGCTGGGATCAAAGGCGTGCACCACCACCACCTGACCACTTGCATATGCTCTTTATCCTTGGCTCTGACTTCCCTCAGACTTTTTTTTTTTTTTTTTAAGGTTTGTTTTCACTGTCTTCAGACACACTTTTTCCTCAGTCGGGGCAGGAAGCAGGAACAAAGCAGCAGGGTGAACTAGGATGATTCACCCTTTACACTGGTTGACTTAACGGGAGCATTGTGCTTACCTGAGTGACTTCACTGTCACACTGGACTAGGACTTGGTAAGTGCTGGCAGCCACATGTGGCCCAGTACGGGTGATGCCGAGAAAGGTACAGGGTCTTTCTGTGCAGCCCTGGCTGTCCTGGAACTCATTGTGTACACTGGGCTGCACTCAGAGATCTGCCTGCTTCTGTGTCTTAAGTGCTGGGATCAAAGGTGTGCGCTGCTCTGCCCTGCTGAGGACTCTTATTTAGTACTTTAGACTGTTTTTTCTACTAAAGTTTGAGCTTTCCTACTCACTTCTTTTAGCTTTTTGAGACAAGGTCTTACTTTGTATCCTCAGATTAAACTCTTGATCTTCCAACCTACACCTGCCTAGTGGGGAGCTGCAGGCACATGTCCTGTTCTGCCTCTCCCAAAGGTCTGGGACAGACGGGAAGCATTCTGTGAAAGCCCTTATCACAACCCTGTCTGCTAATTCTAGCATCTGAGCGAGTTCTGGATTAATGTCTTTCTCGACTGACTGTGTTCCCTTGCTCTTTAATCTGGCAGTCATTGAGTGGACACCAGACGAGATGTGAATTTTCTTTTTTCTTTTTTGGAGACAGGGTTTCTCTGTATAGCCCTGGCTGTCCTGGAGCTCACTCTGTAGACCAGGCTGGCCTTGAACTCAGAAATCCGCCTGCCTCTGCCTCCCAAGTGCTGGGATTAAAGGCGTGCGCCACCATCGTCCAGCTAGATGTGAATTTTCATTGTTGTCGGCTTCATGTAGCCTTCCTGCTCCATTTTTTTTGGAGGTGCAGTGGAGTTACTTACTACTACTTTGATCTTTGCAAGTCCTGCTTTTATGATATTAGGTGGGCCCAAGGCATTGTTTTGGGCAGTTACCAGAGTTATGTTCTGCCCAGCGCTATGTGCTTTTCTACTTGATTCCAGTCCCTGCCCTTTCTAGGACTGCTCAATTTGCCAAGTGGAGTCTACTGCCGGTTCCTGGGGTTTCCCTTTGGCCATGCTCTCCTTCCTGGAAACACTTGCTGCTTCGTCTGTGGCCAGTAAGGAGGCCTTAAGGGTTCATCAACTCAACATACACAGATGCAGCCAGAGCAGCTGCGGATTCCAAAACTGGAACATAAACAGACCACCCTGTCCACGTGCCTTATGTACTGTAGCAACAGTGATTTTCCTTAGGGCCGGTGGCTCTGGTGTTCTCACTTCTGATACACAGTAAGGATATAGTGAAAATTCCAGACGCAATGCGGGAAAGGACTCTGGACAGCTTGAACGTGGCAAACATGGCTCTGGCAGGCCTTGCCCTTCTCCCCCATTCCCTCTGCCTTGCTAAGAACCGCTAGATTCCATTCCTGAAGCTAGTCACCAAGGTCTATTCCCTTATTTGGCCACTTCCTCCTCCTGAGGCTGACTACCAAGGTCCAACTATTAAAAACCCTGTCCAACAAAAATATACCACTGTGTTCTAGACCATTCTAACACAGAAATCCCCTTTTCTCTTATTAAAAGTTACAACAGCAAAGTCATTTGCTGGTGTTTTTCTGCCCGAGTCAAAAAGCAGCCACTTTAACTTTTCTTCCTTTCACTTAATCAAGGATCTCTCTGTGAAAACTGTTGCTTGGGTGTGGTTTGTGCCTAGTCTGAAAGAGAACCTCTGCTGCGCCGGGAATCCTAATGCATATGTGACTACCTGACTACACGCTTTCTAGGTGTGTGGAGGAAAGAGTAGCCTCGGCTTCACCAGACCCCGTGCCAGTTCTGGAAGGTGATCACCGCTCAGGGTGCACATGACAGAGAGGCTCTCCCCAAGACCATGGAACTGGGTGTATGTCCCAGCTCCAGTCCCGGAGAGATGACATCAGGCATGCAATTCTACAGATGAGTGAGACAAGTGGATCTACGTGCGAAGAAATGTAATCGTAGGAAAGTCGTCAACAGCGTAGACAACAGTCTTGCGTCCGGGCTCTGTAGCCTCGTCAATGAGGGGCTTACTTGCGCATTATGGTGACTGCGGTCATGGGAACTTTCTTTTTTGGAAGTAGGAACTCACTGTGTAGACCAGAGTGGCCTCAAACAGATATCCACCTGCCTCGGTATCCCGAATGCTGAGATTAAAGGCGTGCACTCTCAGGGTAGATTCACTTCGCTAGGCGTGTGGACCGCGTGGTGGCTGAAGCCGGAGAAGGGCAGGGCCTGGGGAGAGGAGCAGAGCTTGGGGGGAGGGTGCAAGATAGGCATTGGGCTTCGCGGTAACGCCTCCCTCCGCCACGCTCGGCCGTTCCTCTCCGAGGCCCCGGCGGCGGCTTCCCAGAAACGCCCCAGGTCTGTGGCGGCTGCGTTCCAGAAGAGCGGCACGCCTCCCTCCGACACCTTTCCAATCCTCGAGGGCAGCCGGCAGACAAGCCAAATCCAACCCAACCATCGGAGGGCGGAGGGGCGGGATTACGTGATGAAGGCGGAGCCTGAGGAAAGAGGCGTGTCTTGGTTGGAGGCGGAGCCAGAGACCTATGCCTATGCTTTGTGTGAAAGAATCAGGGCTTCTTGACACCGGAAGCGGAAGTAAAGCTCACAAACAGGCCTCTGGGATGGTGGATACAGTCAGCGTGACCCGGAAGCATTTGGCGACGAACCGCCCCTCCTGCCCAATAGTGCTGCGGAGGAACGAGCCACTTCCTTTCTGTGCTCTCGCTAGACTAGTGAGCAGGTAGGCCGCGCGGCGGGCTGTGGGCGCAAGCTGGGCCGGGCTGGGCGCCGTTGGGGAGGTCGCGGTCGCATGGCCGGGAGGGCCTGGGGGGGGGTGGGGGACTCATGAGTCTGGCTGGGGCCACAGACTCGGCGTGGGGCCTGACCAGACTCATGGCCCGCGTGGTGACTCTGTAGGGACGGCCTCAGAATGCAGAACGACGCCGGCGAGTTTGTGGACTTGTACGTGCCGCGGAAATGGTGAGCATCTGCGGCCCCATCGTCCCTGCGCCCGCTTTTCCCCGCTCCCTTTGACCCGCTGTTCTTTCGTGACCTGTTACACGCACTGTGCTTTTCTTACGCAGCTCCGCGAGCAACCGCATCATTGCTGCCAAGGACCACGCGTCCATCCAGATGAATGTGGCCGAGGTGAGCTGGGCCCCCGACGGTGAGGCTAGTCCCCGAGGGAAGGGATTATGAGGCAGTTAGGCCTGAGTGCCTGGCTCTTCGCCTTGGTGTTTCCTAACGTCGAGGGTAGACCGAAAGGGTGGGGTGGGGTCGAATCTTCCAACTTATTTTTGTTTCTCCAGGTTGACAGGACCACAGGCCGGTTTAACGGCCAGTTTAAAACCTACGGCATCTGCGGGGCCATTCGCAGGATGGTGAGTTGTTATACCACACGGGTCTCTGCCTTGTTCTGTTCATGTGAATGTTTGAACTGTGGTGGTGTCCATTTCTTCCTGTGGGTATAGATTTGGGTCTGATAGTGCTAAGCAGGGAGCCAGCTCTGTGGGATACTCAGGTATTTATTTTTAATTTTAAAGGGCGAGTCAGATGATTCTATTCTCCGATTGGCTAAGGCTGATGGAATTGTATCAAAGTAAGTGGGGGGATCTCACATCCGGGTTGAGTGGCTTGGGACTTCCCAAGAGATACAGCTTTTAATACTACCTTTTTTCCTGTATTAGGAACTTTTGAGCAGAAGAAATCGGGAATAATTTGTTACAAATAAAAGTGATAAGTTCCTGTAACAGTGGAGTCTGCATTTTTATTATGTGCGGCTGGTGTTACTTACCTGAAAGGAGGCAAGCAAGGGAATATGTTGCAAAAACAAGTTTTACTTTAACAAGAACACTTTAACACCTTCCATTCAAAGCCTACTGGACACACACAACATTCTGAGGTCAGACACTCTTGAGACAGCTGTGTCCTGTTGAGTGCTGAGGGTGCAGCACCAGGTCTGTGGCATTGGGTCACAGTCCAGCTGGACACCATGGGTATACCTCAAATTTCTGGACTCAGTCTATGGGGACTCTGTATTTGGTTTAAGGGTTGGCTTGTTGTGACAGTGCTCAGTACCAGACATCCGCAGCTCTTGGCCTTGTTGAGGGCAGGGAGGGAAGGACTAAGAGACCAGCTTGGTAAAATGAATACACCTTACTACATAAATATAAAAGCTTAAATTATTACTCTTTGCCAGCTTTAACATTTAGTCCATCAGTCAGCCACATCTAAGTTCATTTTAAACAAGATGGGGCTCTCCCGAAGATGACCTGTCCGCAGGATCTTGCACCCAAAGATGCTCTGAGGACTGGCATGCTTACACCAGCATAAGCATGGACAGGATAAAGGACTATTTACTACCTTTCAAGGTTCTTGTTTAAGCTATTACTGGTTGACTAGGCCTAAGTGGTTGGATGGTGTCAGGCGATGAGGCTGTGGAACCAAGCACTCGGGAGCAGTGGGACTGGTGTCTGTCAGGCTGGTGACCAGTTTCTAGGAAAGGATAACAGGCCTGGGAAGGTGGAGGATGGCTCTTGTCTGGTGTCAGCAGGGAGACAGTGGCACGGGCAAGTTGGCCTAGATGTCATCTACTCATTGATGTGCTGTTTGTCAGTTCCTTCCTGCTTGAGGATCAAGTGTGGTTCAGAGTCAGCAGTAGCCCTTAATGGGCCAGCTTCTGTTCTCATAGAGTCCAAATCTCAAGTTATTCCTTTTCTCCATCATGATATTGCTTAGTAAAGTCAAGAGCCCGCAGAGGTTGTCTTAAATGGTCCAGTAACACAGGAAAAAGTGGCGGCAGGTGGTGTTGGCCAAACACTGCTGTGCATGTGATGGCACAGGGGTTTCACAGTGGCAGATGCTTTAACAAGGTCCAGTGTGAGCAGACTCAGAATGGGTCAAGGTGTCTGCCCTTTGCTGTATCTCAGAAAATGAAAAATGTGTGCTGATGGAACTATGCTGGCAATTGCAGCATTGGGTCTGGACACCTAGAACTGTACAGGAATGGTTTCATGGCTAGGCAAAATGAAGGCTGGACCTCAGCTCAGGGTTCACAACATAAACCAGGCTGGTCTCAGGCACATGAAAAGCAAACCAAGCCCCACACTGCTCATTTGCTTCAGGAAAATCCTCAGCAGGGCCTTAAGGTGGAGGTATGCACCACAAAATAAAAGCAGTGTCTTTCCAAGGAAGCCAAGAGCTGCTGTGGGTTGTGAGGGGCAAGTGCAGTTACTGGAGGGACAGGGACACTTGTCAGTGCTCTAGCCAAAGCAGCCTCCCTGTGGGGTGCACTGTTGGACTAGAACTGCTGGGTGAGGCGTCTGTAGTGAGGTAACACTTGGTTCTCGGGGAGGTACAGGGCCAGTTCCAAAGCCACAAGCACTGTGAACTCAAATCCAATGAGATCTTTCCTGTTGAACCGGAACCTTTCCTCCAGCTTCTGCAGTGAAGGAAGCAAAGGGTCAGTGGGTTGGCTCCATCTGTGTCCCCATCTAAGGCCCAGCACCAAGCACTGGTTGCTGGTGCTGTGCACACCTCGCACTCACGTCAATGAGCTGCTTCACTTCACTCTTGCGGAGGTCACTGCTGATCTTGGCAGCCAACAGAACACAGGCGCCAGCACACAGTTTGCGGTTCTGTTTGTTGAGCTTGCCCTGCAGTACGAGCTTCTCAAAGTACACATAGGCCATGGACACGGTCACAGGCTCCAAGCTGCATTCTTCAGAAAGATTCCGCATCTCCCGTTTTAAACTGTGGGTGGGATGGGAGCCATGTCCCTGGGGCAAATCTATGTCATGAGACTACGGTGAAGCAGCAGCCACCCTTCCATGGTTATGCTATGGGCTGTCAGCACACACGGAGAAAGCCTAGAGCCAGGTTAGGTGGCTGGGTAGGGGTATCTGCCTAGCCCGCCCTTACCTCCTAATTTTGCTCAAGGTCAGTTTGATATGAGGGAACTTCTCCCTGAAGGTCTCGTTCATGTCCTTCTTGAGGTCCGCAGGCTTCACATACTCTATGACAGTGGTCTGTAACAGAAGCAGAGGTAAGTGGAGACAAGGTGCTTGGGAGTAGATGCCCTGTAGCCTGAGTTTACAGACATGAGCATGTGGGGCTTCAGAGAGATGCCTGCATTTGTGAGGATAACATGGCTCAGTTTGTCCTCTGTGGATAGGCCCAGCCTGCCAGGCATTTAGAGCTGACCCCAGGAGATGTCCAGCATGGCTGGCTATCCTGCTTTGGCACACTACCCTTGGCTATGACCCTTCCCACTACTTGTTAGTGCTGGGATGGCTGTTCTGAGTTACTGGTGTGGAGGGGTACTTACTCAGTGTATTCTCTGAATCCTGAACGTTAGGGTTATGAAACTCACCATGTATGAAGCAAAGATGAGCACACGTTTGTGCTTCCCACATGGCCACTGTGGGTCATCCAGGAGGTTGGGGTTGTATTCTACTGCATCTCCCCCGTCGCTTCCTGTAGGCAAAAGCAGCTACTGACACCCTAGATCCTGATCAGAACCCACACCACCCCTCTCCCATTGCAGCCAATGAAGAGGCATGACAGCAAGGCTCCCTGATCTGAGAGGGGCTCCAGGTCAAAGGCCAGGGCTTGGGTACAAGAAGTGATGTCTAGACAAAGCCCTCTTCCCACACTGTCCCTCTCTTCTGCCTGACTCAGGCAAAGCCTAGGGCCACATTATCTGGAATCCTTTCTTCTGAGAAGCCTCAGTGCAGAGGCATGAGTGTGGCTTATACTGCTGTCTGCCCCATCACTGTGCCTAGCCCAGTGCTATTGCCTCTCTTGTGCCACGATGAAGGCACCTCGGCTACCTAGTTCTGTGCCAGCTGGTGTTGACTTGGCAGGCACAGGTTTGTGTCTTGAACCTGGTGGAGCCCGGGGGATGCTGGACCGAGGCTGGGGCAGCAAGCCATGGCTGTCATTCTTGTGTATAACCAGGGCGTTAGTAGGGTACAGGAACTTTGCATAAGACACGACCTGGAAAAGCAATCACATTAGATCTCAGTCCTGCTCCCCATCCCCTCTGCCCTCCAGTGAGGAGCCTGGAGCCATGCTGCCACCCAGCTAGAGCGGGTACTCTCCGGTCAGAACACTAGCTTCCATCCTCATCTGTGGTCTGTAGTTGGGCTAGTCTGTTTTGGAAGACCCTGGCCTACTGGTCCAGAAGCAAAGCTGTACGTGAAGAACCCAAGGGGAAACAGTTTGGTTACCCACAGCTGGCAGTGGCCATGTATGGTGTACTCTTAGGCCCTTTCTTGGTGTGGCATGAGCCAGCTAGTGACAGGTGTAATGGGGGATGTGGCTTGCTCCCAATACTGTGTCTTAATGTGCAACACCTGTCTGCCTAACTCTGCTGGCCACTGGCTGGCCACGGGGCTCTTGCCTTTCCATCTGCTCCCAGCTCAACGCCTTCCAATTCAAAGACCATCTCAGAAGAAACAGAAACGCCGCCGGATGGGTGCCTCTGCTTCTGGCTGTCCACCCTCAGGTCACTGCAATGTATAGGAGAGGGAGGGCTGTAGTCCCTCTGCCTGTAGTCAGTCAGTGGGTGGATGCTCGGGCCCACAAGGAATCCACATGCAGCTTAGTCTGCTAATCCACCCACGGAGTGCTCCTGCCACAAAGTCCTCAACACAGGAGATGGAGACGGGCATGACCTTGGAGGTACATGACAGAAGGTTTAACCTGAGGGCAGCCTGTATCTCACTCCTGCCCTGTGGATGACAGGGCAGATGTCATCTGTCATAGCACCTGGGAGCCACCACTCTGGAACATCCCTGAACACTTACCTGAACTTTGGCTTAAATTTGCTTCCCAGGTGCCTCAATCCCTTCAGCTGCAGTCACACAGCTCAGCAGCTGGCCTGGGATCCTGAGAACTGGCTATCTCCCACTCTGGACAGGAGGGTTCTCTGTGTCAACTATTGTTCTGTGGGGTCACACACAACACTGCCCCACCCCACAGCTGTTTCCTTCTTCCCTGAATTACACTCAGGACACAATTGCCTGGGCTGGTCACAAGGTTTTAGCTTATTTGAGAGAGGTTCAGGAATATTTCAGTCAACCTATATATAGTTTGGCTTTATATAGCCTACCTATACATACCTGTATTTAGCCAACCTATATGTAGCCAGATTGTCTGTCTGTCTGTCTGTCTGTCTGTCTGTCTGTCCGCCCCATCCATCCATCCATCCATCCATCCATCCATCCATCCATCCACATATAGTTTGAACAGAACCCATGGCTCCGGGGAATAAGAGCCTGGAATGCACGTTCTTGGCTGTGGTGGGAGATGATGTGCTGTGCCCATGAGTCTAAGGCCCCAGCCTACACTCAGAGGCAGGCTGCACTGATTGTGCTCAGCAGGACCAGGGCTTACCCGTGTCCGCAGCATGGGGGTCTCTTACCTGATCCGCAGGCCCTCTCCATAGGGCAGGACTGAGAAGGCCGCACACAGGGACCGCTTGGCACAGATGAGCACAATCCTGTGGGAGGCTCAGGTCAGAGCAGGCAGCAACTCTGTCCTGTCTACATGTGGATGAGGGGAAAGCGCCAGAGCCCACCGAGGGGACTTGGGTTCCGGAAGCTAAGCCTGGCATCTTAGCACTTGGGCCAGATTCACTAGAGTTGCTCAGGAAGCTCCCTGTTCCCAGGCGCAGGGCCATAGAGTTCATACTTCTTGGGAGCAGTTACCCACGAAAGGGCAGCCTCGTTTGCACAAAGAGAGGGCA